TTATTAAATATTTCAATAAGGCATTCATTTGGTAATGCTATCATTTAGAAAGCTAAAAAATATATAATGAAATAAATGGAGCGTTTTTTTTTTCCCCCTAGATTACCCTGCAACATTGAATTATATTATTAGAGATGGTAGAAATCATGATTTAAATATATTTTTATGATTTAAAAATGTTTTATTCTACCATGTCCCGAAAAGTTTATACATTCAAAAATTCAGCAATTGAAATTAATTTAAATTGATTTATTTTAAATCTTTTAAATCACATCCCTAGGTCTATACTCTTAATAATCGGATTGCAATATAATACAAATAACCCTAGCAAAAATTGTACGGTCGATCTGAAAAATTCAAAACAAAGTTTGTAGAATATATAAAGGTATGTCAATATTTTCACTTTTTTAATTTTCATTTTTTTATATAAAAAATGGAAAATGAAAAAAGTGAACTTATTTCGAAAAGAATATATCTAATTGCATTAAAATATCATTATGAAATAGATTTAATACCTATGAGAAAAAAAAATTAGTTTCGACGCAAATGTCCGAAATGGTTATCATTATTATCGGATTTGTTTTATTATGGATTGTAAAAAATAAAATGGTTTAAAAACACGTAGTTATTGCCGTTTTAAGTGTAGGAAGAATATTAACTCTCGAAAATTTTTTCTAACAAACAACTGAAGTACATGATGTCGTAACTATCATTAGTGCGTGATAATTTAGAATTTTATCTTTGAAGAATTATCAAATTTGCTAAAATATTATCACTCTGGAATTTTGACCTAAATTAATGATTTCTTGGAAGGTCGATTGCCTGTATTTATATTAATGTAGGCCCAGCCGACTAAGAATTTTGAGACCTTCCTAAAAAAAGTGGGAATGTGGAAGTAATAATCTATCGCGTTAATTAATAATAATTATCTGTTTGTAGTAACTTTTAAAATGCATGATTATATAGCGGTTTGAACTCCATCGGTTCAATACAGAGACAAAATTTTATTATCTGTAAGCTTAGAGCTCTAACGATTAAATGAAATAAGAACAGTACCATTATAATATTTAATTATAACAGATTGTCTGAAGCGTAGCAGGGAATAGTTTATTATACTCTAATCCATGTAAATGTCTGTAAAAAAAATATTCAAATAAAAAAAAAATTTTGAACTTATTAGGTCCATAAAGTTCTATGATCAGTCGGATCGAAGGACTGTCAATTCAGACCAGATCGATTAATAACTCTACCCTAGATTTATTTTTGGTCAAAGTATGAATAGTATTACTATTTATTAATCAAAATGGTAAGAATACAAGAATTTAAAATATAATAATAGTTTTTTTTTTTTTTTTTATCCGACTAATCCAGATGTTCTGAAACTTCGAATGAATTAGAAGTCGAGGTTTTGATAGTACCTAGCCAAATATAATAAGGGATCTGGACTAAATAAGGAATTAGGAAGTGGTTTCGTCCATTGAAACACTTTATTGCATTAAACTGGTGCTCAACGTAGTTACGACGAGATGGGTGTAAGTTGATATGATCGAATTCAAACCAAATTTGCCAAAACCATCTTGTGAACCAGTTACAATAATATCCTTGTTTAACTCGTATATTACTACTAATAGCACGGCCCGATACGTAGAAATCTGCTATCCCGAATAAGCCATCTGGACATAGTAGTGTTTTGATACGATCGATTACTGTATAGAAATCATCAATCATTGATACTGTAAAAGTGTATGTAAATACAGATTAAAATATCAACGTTGCACGAAGATAACACTAGAGTTCAATTCGATCTAGTAAAAATGCGACAATAAACTTACAAGAATAAGACATTGTCACCAAATCAATTTTTCCAATATCGTCTTCCATTTTTGGCAGCTTAAACGAAGCTGCATCATCACAAACTACATAAACATTATTCCATCCTTTAGCGTTAAATCTGGATTCTGCTATTTTACATAATGGTGTACATAAATCTACAAGATAGACTTTTTCAAATTGTTCTATTGGGAAGAACTCATTCATCTTTTCAATATTCCAACCTATGGATAAAAAAAAAGGGTATCAGTAAAAAAAAAAAAAACTCTAATAGTATATAACTGAACAATAATAATATACAATATATAATTGACAATAATATTTACCAGTTCCACCACCGATATCAACCCAAATTGGTTTACGTGATGTATTAATTATTTGTTTCCTAAGCTGATCAGCCGTAAGTTTTATCATTGTAAGTCTTCCACGCAACAGACGACCACGCGTAGCATCATAAACTAATGGCAAATATTTTTACATTGAGAACATTAAATAAAATACGGCTCTTTTACACTATGATACTGTTACCCGAAAATTAAATTATATCCTAGTTTCTTAAAAAACTCAAAATTCATAAATTTTATTAATAATATGTTTATATCTCTCGTTTCGGGTGACAGTACAAGTGCGACTCTTTACGCATTCGAACCTTCTGCTTGGTCCTCATAAAATGAATCTAAGCGACCTCGCTGATCATTATGGCTTCCAATTGGTTTTAAGAAGCAAGAATATATAAACTTTAAAGGCACTTTAAACTGTTCAAATGTCATTAAAAATGCAAATATATTAATAGCAAAAAAAGCTTTTAGGTATCGCGGGTCAAAGGCTATTATGAAAGCAAATGTTAAAACATTGACTAAAACTACATAGAAATTAAAAGACAACATGAATTTCAAATTTTATTTTAAATTTCAAATCTAAAACAACCAATATATAAAAAAACTGGATTGGCACGCGTAAAAACCCGAAATGGCACCGAGCTGGTAGTGCAATTCACGCCAGAGTACTAAGGCATACCAACCTTAAATACCAGCTAATGCAGACGCAAGCTGGAAGTAGTACTATATGTACCACGAACCCAAACACACGGGAGTGTCTGGTAATGATAACCGCACAGAATATAATGTCAAATTTGTGGGCCTAGGCTTTAGCCGCGAACGTGCTAATTAAGAAGTATACGGGGTTAGGTAGTGCAGTAGTGAAACTGGCTAGACACCAAACAGGAAGTTTAACCAAAGCTTTGCAAAAAGTGTGACCTTGCAGATCATTATGACATGTGAAAATCACAGGTTTTTTGATTTAGCGTTAAATTTTACAGATTTTAGACAGAAATATAGGGATGTTAAAAGTCCTGTTCGGTCCGACTCGACTCCGGGAGTCGAATTTTAATTTGGACTCGGTCCTGAGTCAGACTTGGGACCGAACTCACTATTTCATGTGACATTTGGTCACAACATGTAATGTCACCAATAATATTCAAAGTAGAAATTGTACGTAAAAAATATTTGTTTATTTAAGTATTTGGACTATAAAATTTTAACACTTTATAACGATAAATCTAATCTAATAATTAATTAGGTATTGGACATTTTAAGCATTTAATGTAAAACAGACCATTGAACTAACAATTACCCGAGTAAATCTTTAATTCAAAGATAAGTTACATTTTTGAAATTTTTACAAATTTTTATTTGTTTATTCTAAAATACCA